TGTTCTGGTTTCTGTCCACACCTTCTCCCTTGGATTTGAGTGACCTTCAATTGTCCTGCTGCATCTCTCCTTCCATATGACCCACAAAGTCACTTTCCTGATGAGTTCAAACCAGATCCTCTCTGACGCTCGTGTTAGAACGGGGTTATTGGTTAACAGAAGGAGTTGGAGAGGGTGGTTGGGGAAGGGAGATGAGAAGGAGTCCCAGAGTACAGAGGCTCTTTTCCAGTATTCAGTCGCTTCTTTGCATCGAATTAGGCAGTGCACTATATCTTCTACTAATCCTTCTTTACAGACTGTACATAACTCTGAGCTGTCCGGATTTGAGGCTTTACGTCTAGTATGTAACCATTGGTTCACTGGTAGTGCTGTGTAGACAATTAGCCACTGAAAGCTTCTGATCTTGACTGGTCTGATACGTTTAAACTTATCCCAGGGAATTTGAGTGATTCTATCTGCTTCCTGTCCTAGCAAGTTTCTCCATCAACTTATGATGATTGGGTCAGGGTCTTTAGTTTTCAAGGTTAGTTTGTAGCCCAGTTTGACTGTATAATCCTGTATAGGGGTTTTTGCCTTGATATTCCTGGACGTTCTGGGTGACCAGGACCATTCACCCGGGTCGAACTCCAGGAGTCGGATTGCTGTGTCTGGTCTAAAGATTGATTTTGGCCATGTTCCCAGGGTTCTCACTTTCCTGAGGAGGAAGGAATCCAGGACGGATGTCTCAACTGCTGTCAGTGTTTAATTTTGGGAATAAGAAAACTTGACGGGGCTTAGCATTAATGAGTACTATTCTATCATCAGTTTCGTATGTAAAGGATTGTTGTATATTTCTGACTTTCTGATATATATAAGGCTGATTGCATGTCTTCGTCCTCTATCTCATACAGCAACAGTGGACTATCAGCAAGACAGGGCATTTCAGGCATTGAACAAGGAGAAGCAAAGGATCCCTGTGAACGTAGGAATGCTTTACCCTGCCAGTGGATGAGGGAGGGCTGCTGTATTTTGGATGAGGGACGTTGTTCCTCTGATTGGTGGGAAGAGTCTTGTGGTCTTGAAGTATATGTTATTGACTCTTTTTGGTTGGAAGGCAGCATTTGTGCTTTGAAAATTTGAATCTTGTGTCATGCTGTGGTTAGCCCCTTCTGTTCAAAAATTTGGCCTTGGTTCTGTGTTGCATGCAATATGCAGTGTATAACACTGTATATAAGGTTGTATCTTTCTCTCGATATTTATCCTGAAGCTGTGAAGCTGTATCTGCCGTACTGTTCTTCAACTTATCTCATCTCATCTCATACCACCCCTCTAGTGCAGTTTCGAAACTTTTTGAGAAAACTGAAAGAAAAAAGAAAGCGAAAACGTGTCAGCTGTCACTGATTGCAGTGTCATGTCCCTGCATAGTGTTTGTTTCCCAGCATGTGCAACTTTTTTTTTTTTTTTTTTTTTTTTTTAAATAATGTAGTAAATGTACAGAACCTCTCGGTTCTGGCTCCTGCCATTCTGGGGAGCAACAGTCCGGTTCTATTCCCCCGGCAAGTCAAATATGAATACAATAAAGACACACACATGCTCCTCCCCATTATGGCTGAGAGGCCCGAGTGGACGACATTGATTACTTCCCTGGGGAAGGATGTATGTGGCATACTGGGTAACCACACGGGCCCTGTAGGACCCGTCCCGGACATTCAGCCTAAAAGCCTAAAACTTAGGATCTACAGGCCCCGGTCGTTCAGCCTGAAAACTGAAAAACGAGGGTCTGCAGGCCCTACTCCGTTTCAGCCTATTTCTGGGTCTTTCAG